TGATCACATGACCCTGGAACAATGTGACCATCATAAATAAGAATCGGTTGCCAAGCATCCAAATGTAAATTACATGACCCTGGGGATGCTGCAGTGGTCATAAGTGTGAAAAATGGTCATATGTCACTTTTTCCAGTGCCATTGTAACTTTGAACAGTCACCAAGCAAACTGTTGTAAGTTGAGGACTACCTGTACTTTATCACTTTTTTCCATATTTTTTTTTTTTGTCATCAAGCTTTTGACACCTTGCTGGGTGACTGGTGGTACTCGAATGTTGCCATATTCTAAAAGTGGTACAGTCGGTGAAAAGGTTGAAACGTCCTGGCTTAGAAAACAAACAGCATGGCAGCTCCCATGGGTTTATTGTCTTATCCTTCCTTTCAGCTTTAGAATGAATTAGGAAAAGTTTAATCCACTTGCACTGTTTTATGTTTACATGTGTGATGACAAACAGCCTTATGTTTATAAGTGACAGTTTTCCTGCTAAGTACCTGCATGTCATAAGCATTTGAATTAAAATTACCATATTGAAATCAAATCTGTTTTTTAATTTTTATTTGGTGTGCGTTGGAACAGGGGTAGTCTTATACCGTGAGTATAGCCCAAACTCTATATTTTAACTGGAAAAGTTGGGGGTCGTCTTATACGCCCAGTCGTCTTATACGCCGGAATATACGGTACATACAAATTGATAAATAGAATATGACTAAGTCTAGATTCAGCAAATCCATTTTCTCCCTTAATTTTTAAATCTTGTATCAATTAATTATTTTAAAATATATAGAAATTGTCTAGGAAAAAAATATAGGACCATTCATCGAAATATGGTATTTTGGAATTAAGAATACATATGTCATCTTCTCCATCTATGAGAAACTTGGCTGGGGATTCATCTCCTTTTTCAAAGCCACAATTAGGACTACTAGTCAAAATAATTATGTGAAAACTTTAGCAGTGTAATTTTTTCAATGGAGCTGAAATATTTGCTTTAGACACACTAATTGCCTTGATATGTCCACTTTAACTTTTTTTTTTTTTAAAAGAAACAGTTTCTAAATAGTTGCACATATGGAAATACAAGAATTTTAAAAAAATGTAGAAGTCTGGAATCTCCTTAGAATAAAATGGGTGAAAAAAAGTTATTTGCTCAGCATTTTTCTTACAGTAATTAGTAAATAAATTACTACTCAATGTTTAATGTAAGACAGATACTGTCACTTCCACATTGACGACAATGGGAAACGAAGAAGAAAAGACTATTTCCAGTCAATCTTTCATTTTCTTTCCATATCTCCATTCATTCTTCGACAATATACCTCTCCACCTTACGGAGATTGTTTCAAAACGCTATCTTTGAATTGTACAGAATGCCCTTTCAATGCACAAATACACCTCTTGGCCACAAATAAAGAGGTTTCGTGCTAGCTCTTCCACAAAACAAACCTCTTTGCTTTATCCTTGTCATCTTCTTCCACGAGACCATCGAAAATGCTGCCATCATCTCTGCAAAAAAAAAAAAAAGGGGGGGGGGGTTAGAGCAGAGTTCCCCAACCCCAATCCCCGGCCCACAGCCCACTACTGGGACATGAGCTGTTCAAAACAGGGTCACCCGAAGCGGCAGGCGAGAGCACACGTGCGCACATCCCTCCCTTGCGGAAGCAGTGAGCAAGTGTGTGCACGTGCTGTCCATTTGCACTACTGACGGGCGTGTGTGTGCCCACTGCTCGCACAAATGGAGCTGAGCACACGCCACTCAGGCAGAACCATCCCCTCCCACCCTACGCCAGTTGGCAAAGCCGGAAAGGTTGAGGAACTCTGTATTAGAGAACAATTGCAGAGTAGTGTTGATCATGAAGACATAACCAGAAGCAGAGATACTTCAGAACCAGTTATGTATTTATTTATTCATTTTGTCCCCCATTTTGTCCCGCATTTCACGCAAATGACGCAACTGTTTTAACAATTCAAAAAGAGATACATCCAGCACAGGGGTAGGCAACCTCGGCTCTTTTATGACTCATGGACTTCAACTCCCAGAATTCCTGAGTCAGCATAGCTGACTCAGGAATTCTGAGAATTGAAGTCCATGAGTCATAAAAGAACCTACCCCTGATCCAGCACATTCCTACCAAGCTTTTTTTTTTAGTCCACACCCATGTCTCAATCATGTCCCATATTTTGGGATAATGTGAAAGCTTAATTCTAATTGGTAACCAATAGAAGATCAATATTTCACCTACCCTTCTTTGAAATCCTCATTTACAACATGGGTAACTTTGAGAATATAAACTTAAAATTAACGAAACTAAGCAACAACTTACCTGTCTGCAATGGAGCTCATTTTATGGGTGCTTATGGTAAGGAACATAACATATCATCACATTTTAGTCTTGTGGTAGACATTTGTAATTCTGATCTGCGGGTAAATGCAATAAAAGGAAATAGAATTTGCAATTTTTTCTTTCTGTTTTCTAATGAATTCCAACAAACCACCCAAACGCTCAAGAGTCTTTTGGAATCGGTATCTTCAATATATCTCCTTTTCTCATCAGGTCATGCCAGATAACGTGCCACCATAAACACCAAGAAGAAATCAAGTTCTTAAAAAAATATATCAAACTTTGCCATTTTTTTAAAAAGGCTCAAAAATCCCATTAATGATGCCTTGGCATACCTAATCTAGATTCCTGCATTCAGTCTCTAGCCTTATTTATAGATATATAGATATATATCATAAATATCCAAATTTAAAGTTGCAATATTTTACCGTGTATTCCTTTCCGGATGACGAATGGCGATATTCTGCGAAGACTGAGTTCAGAAGGGCCAATTTTTGAGAGAACAGTTTCTTCAGAATGTATTGCCCATAGAGGTTCTTTTACATTCTAGCTTATTATTGTTTAAAAGAAAAAAAGAAAAAAAGTAATGTTTTAATCCAAAGGAGGAACACCCAATATTAATCATAATAGTGGTAATAATGATAGTAACAAAAGAATATATTTAATAACATAAGAAATGCTTGTTGGATTAGACCAGGGGTAGGCAACCGTGGCTCTTTTATGACTCGTGGACTTCAACTCCCAGAATTCCTGAGCCAGCATGGCTCAGCTTGGAAACCTCTCCCTTTCCCCTCAGCATGGCTGGCTCAGGAATTCTGGGAGTTGAAGTCCACAAGTCATAAAAGAGCCAACGTTGCCTACCCCTGGATTAGACAAATAGACTATTTAATCCAGTATTTTGTGGCCTGTAGTGACTAATTAGATGCAAAAGTACCACTTATATTCTCCCAGCAACTGGTGTTCACTTTCAGTCTTGATATCACTTTAAAAATATAAAAGTTACCAAAGTTGACAAGCCATAACTAAACCTCATGAAGGGGAACTGCACGGCTTAACTGTGTAGTCTGCGTAGAAATGTTTTCCTTTGCCTCTAAGTTTCTTAATTTAATCTCATATTCTAAAATGGAGAGAAATTATCTATTATTTCCATACTATGAAGAATTTTGTACCACATGTACAGTTTCACACAAACCCATCCCATTTATTGTCCTTCTACATATAAAACTCTCAACTATTTATCTCCCCCATAGAGAAATTATAGCAATCTCATGACCATTTTAATTTATCTTGTTTCTTAAACTAATGGCATGAAAGGGCTACCTAACAAGATGAAATTTCTTTAGAAATTCACTTTGTAGCAGCTATATCAGTTCTTATATATTGTTTAGCCCACTAGCTAAACAGTTGTTTTTAATATGGTGCTTGGGTAGATGATATAGTTTATCTAATTAATCAGAGTGCATTTTCTTGGACCTTTTTGATTTCTTTGCATCACTGAACACCACTGATCACATATCTTACTGACTTTTACAACAACTGGAACTCTTGGGCACCATTTTACAGCGGTTCCACTCCTACCTGAATCAGCAGTTGCAGTCAATAATTATAGAGGAACAGAAGTTGAATCCTTGGTTGCTCCTGTGTGGGATGCCACAAGACTAGGGATCTCTTCTATGTTATTTAACATCTATTTGAGGTCGCTGGGAGAGACCATCTGTCATCTTGAAGTGAAGTGTCATTAGTATGCTGATGATATCCATATACTATCATTCTGAACTGGGCCAGACATGCTGTAGAAAGCCTGAATTGGCGTCCGGAAGCTGTCAGTTTCTGGATAGGATAAAACAAACTAAAATCAGCCCCAAAAAATATTGATTAGTTTTTTAGCAATAAAACACCAAGCAGTTTAATAATACCAGTCCTGATAGTTATATAGACTGGGGGTATTCCAGAGTCCTCCTAGATCAGTGATTGCGAACCTTTTAGAGACCGAGTGCCCAAACTGCAACCCAAAACCCACTTATTTATCGCTGGATGCCAGGTGGGCGTGGCCCACTGGGTGAGCGTGGCTGTGGTGGTCACGGCAGACTGGGTGGGTGTGGCCAAGGTGGGCGTGATCACCTCAATGTTGTTCGTGGGGGAGATGTGGGGGCCGGGCAGGGTTGGGGGAGATCAAGGGGGTCTCTGGCGGGTGGGGCGGTGGGCAGGAGGCTCGTCCTGCAGGTGAGGTAAAGTGAGGCAGGGCGGAGGTGCCATTGTCACAGGGCAAGGCAAGTCAGGGGCCGGGGCAGCTGCTGCCTGACACCATCGGCCCCTGCACACAGAGACCAGCGGGCACATGGGTGCTGGGATGCATCCAGCCACGTGGGACCTCAGCGAGTTAGCGGGTAACTGATTGAAGAGGGACAGTTGCCATCTCCGGGGCATGGCGCGCGTGCTCTGAGTGCCGCTTCTGGCATGCGTGCCATAGGTTCGCCACCACTGTCCTAGATGCAAGGCTCTTATTTAAACAAGAAGAAAAAAGTGGGTGTGGCCAAGGATACCTTTGCCCAGCTTTGGGCAGTATTTCAACGGTGACCCTACGTGGTCTAGGATGCCCAGAAAGTGGTTGGGTAGATGACCTAATCACTATGTTGCTGGATCAGAAAAATGCATTCTAGGCAGAGCAGTCTTTGGCAATCCCTTGGCAGCTGCACTTGTTCCACAATGCAGTGGGCAGACTGCTAAGCAAGGCAGCCTAATCACTCTATAATAATGCTGATCTTGAGATTGTTGCCCAATTTAAAATACTCATTACCTTCAAGACCCCACAGGGCACCGCAACTGGTTACATCAGGTATTGCCTTGCCAAAACTGATTCTGTCTGGACGTACATATAAGGTTTGGTGGAGTGGACATGTCTTTCTGTGAAGAAGATGCAGGCTCTGGAATATGCTTCTACAAAAGTACTTGTAGCATCCTCTTACCTTGTACTTTACAAGGTGGTTAAAATTTTTGGTTCCATTGCAACATTGGCTCTAATTGACTGGTTGTGGGCATTCCGTCTTGGTTGTGTATTTTTTGCTCTGTTATGACTGCTATTTAATTTTCTCCACTTACTTGTGCACTTTGGAAAGGGGTGTGTACTCTAATTACTTTCAGTTAAAATAAATAAGGGTTTGATCTTGAGTAATTCCTTCTTATACAATTAAGGCTATTCAGCAAGGCTACAATCTCAAAAAGCTGCCACGATTCGATCTGATTTATTAATGTTCGGTGATATCACTTATTTATCTATAATCATATATATTATGTAACTCTGCACATATGTATCTACATACTGTGCATATGTAGATACATATGTGCAGAGTTACATAATATAATATAATATAATATAATATAATATAATATAATATAATATAATATAATATAATATAATATAATATAATATAATATAATAATATAATATAATATAATATAATATAATATAATATAATATAATATAATATAATATAATATAATATAATATAATATAATATATATGCACACATGCTATTTGCACTATTTTTGGCTTGGAAAAAGCAGATGCTCACTACAAATAAGCATCACTGTTCAGTCCTGATGTTGTAAATCTAATCAACACACACAATTTAGAAAAAAAAAAACAATAATTCCAGAGTGGCTATAAATCATTTGATACGTTTATACAACTAGTTCAGTTTGGAAAGCACTGTTAGGTGATCTGTGAATATGGTTCCCATTAGTATACATTTTTAGACAATATCTTCAGGAATCTAAATTCTTTACTAATACTGGATACATGCTGAGGTACTCATGCAACCAATATGTGAATTTCACTTTATCAGTATGTGAATAGAATAGTAAAACTTAACACAGATAGAATTATCCTAATAATGATGACTTTGTTTACAAAATACAGGTAGTCCTTGACCTGCAACAGTTCATTTAGTGACCGTTCTAAGTTTCAAAGTATTATTTTGACTTTGAACGGTCACTAAATGAACTGTTGCAAGTCAAGGACTACCTGTATTTTGTAAACAAAGTCATCATTATTAGGATAATTCTATCTGTGTTAAGTTTTACTATTCTAATGACCGTTTTTTAAAGTTACAATTTTGCAGTATCCCTATGATCTTCTTCTTCTTCTTCTGCCATATCCGTTATCGGACGCTGGCGATCATGTTGGCGATCCTGTTTTTATCAGCAGCCGCACAAAAAAGTGCTGCTGAGTTTTGTCCAAACCAGTCCCTTAGATTTTGAAGCCACGATGTTCTTCTTCTGCCTGGACCTCGTTTGCCTTCAATCTTTCCTTGGAGGATTAAATGGAGTATGCCGTATTTTTCTGTGTGTCGCATCATGTGTCCGAAATATTCTAATTTTCGTTTTTTAATTGTTTTGATGATTTCCCTTGGCTTTCCCAGGCGGCTTATCACCTCCTCATTTCTGATCTTGTCAACCCACGATCCCGATCCTATGATCATGTGATCAAAATTCAGATGTTTGGCAACTGATTCATATTTATGACCACTGCTATGTCCCAAGACCATGTGATCCATTATTGCAACCTTCTGACAAAGTCAACGGGGAAGCCAGAGTCACTTATCCACTGCAGTGATTCACTTGACAACGGTGACAACAAAAAGTCGTAAAATGGGGCAAACCTCACTTAACAAATGTCTCACTTAACAGAAATGGGCTCAATTGTGGTTGTAAGTCGAGGACTACCGACTACCGGGGGGGGCGGGCAGTTTTTGGGCACTCGGTCTCTAAAAGGTTCGACATCACTGCCCTATATACCGTACCACTGGTTGAAAAGCCCTGGGTTAGATCTCCCAGGAAGAGAGCATAAACAGCTGAGGATACCCTACACAGCGAAAAGGGGAGTCAAAACTTGTCCTTGCTTTGCCTAGGCAACTCTGCAGTGGGGGTAATGTCAAAACTTACTAGGCCCTTTATTGTCCTGCTTTGTTCCACTTTGCCTGGGTAACCTGGCAACTGGTTTGCACAAAGAAAACACAACGAAAGGCCCAGTCCTGAGTTTTGACAGCAGACCCACTTTGTCTAAGCATACCTGCAGGAGTCCTGTCAACTCATATATGACTTTATCAAAACAGCGCTCCACAGGTTTGTATAGGCAAAGCGGAAGTGTTGTTCAAAAAAAAATCCCCCCTTGCGCTTTGCCTGTGCAGGCTTGTGCAGACAGAGCAACACCCAAAGCCCAGAATGAATTGTGAAAGATAATGAGTGGATCTAGCAGTCTATAAAACCATCTGCCATCAATTATTTGTATGTTTTTAAATACATAAATATTTTAAAATAATATTTAAAATATTAAATAAAAGTATTTTAAGATGTATGCATGCAGAAATGTATTCATGATTTTGTCTGTGTGTTTTCTAGCCTCAACACCAACCTTGGCACATCATTCTTAGATGGAATGTACTCTTTCCCCTTAAAATATTGTCCCTGTTTTAAAGGGAGATTTTATTCCTTGACATCATTGTGTAGGGCAGGGGTAGGCAACCTCGGCTCTTTTATGACTCATGGACTTCAACTCCCAGACTCAGGAATTCTGGGAGCTGAAGTCCATGAGTCATAAAAGAGCCGAGGTTGCCTACCCCTGGTGTAGGGGCTCTCTTCTTCTTTTACAGCAATTTTATTTCTTCCACGAAAAAGAGCTGGAAGAAACTACACAACTGTCTCTCCAGAAACCTTACTACAAAGCAAACTTCACATAAATTCTCAGTACTGTACAGAATTTAAATAGGTTCTGAGGTCACAATTATCTCTTACATATTATGTAGTTTTGTACAAGTTTCTTTTAAAAATACATTATGTTTTCTTCTTCAATATGCATACATATCTTTTAATTTTTTTCATCCATAATAAATTATTAAAGAATTTTATGCTGGGCTGTGACCATAAAAAGACTTGATTGATTGCAGAATGAAGTTAAAAATGAATAATAAATACTCACAGGAACTGAACAGTACATACAATACAGAGCGGGCCTTGATGTTCTCTTGAGCTTGATTGTTTTCTTGCAGACACTTCATTACCTAAATTAGGCAATATCATCAGATAAGCACTCATGATGTTACCTAGTTTGGGTAATGAAATGTCTACAAGAAAACAACCAAGCTCAGAGGCCAGCAAAGATCCTTCATTTCAACCATGAACTCAAAATATGCTCCGATATTAGTACATACGAACACTGAAAATTACAAATTACTATATTGTTTTATTGCCTGCAAATAAGCTTAGGGTAATCAAATGGCAGATGATGAACAATTTTAAAAGTCTCTGTTTGCTTAAACTTTATCTCTATTATCTAAATATTTGTCTTTATTTGTTTACATGTCTTTCAACTTGGTTTTAAACAATTGATAATATGATATGGCTTCAATGGGATTTAAATCATCTATATCTATATAAATAAAAATGTAAATGTTCCTTTGTTCAAAATCTTAAATCTCCGAAAGTTCTTCACCGATTGCTTTGAAATTTTGACACAACGTTGCATTCGAATACGCGCATTTCTATATACCTATATTATATAGATGTCACACCTGTGACAGGTAAAAACATGCTTTTTTTGAAAAACAGCGCTGTTGGACGTAAAAGCAACACACGCTTTTACCAGACTGAGTCACAGCAATGCGTGGCCAGGTACAGCTAGTAACTAATATTATCTGGAATGCCTCTTTCTTGAAAGAAGACTTATTGACCAGGGATAGGTCATTTTGTCAGAG